CAGCGGTACGGTAAACTCATCATCTGAATCATCCTCTTCGGCTGAAAAGTGAAATGTTTTCCTCCGAAGTGGAAATGAAAATGAAGAGAAACTTCATCAGATGCTGTTACAGAATTGCAGTGAATGAAGTGAAATGCTGCATGTTAGACGTTGGAAAAGGTAACATTTCAAGGAGATGAATCTGAAAAACATTCGAACACCTACCACCATTCGCAGATGACTGCTTCAGTTGTGTTGAGGATGATGCAGGCTCAGTTTCGTCGCTACCATCCTGAATTTTTGATACAATCGTCTAGGCAATAAAACCAAACTTTATGAATACCGAAACCTAACCGTGACAGAATCAAAAACACTGAGTTTTGGCGAAAAAGAGCCTTTCTAACAAAAATATTTTCACTTCCCGAAGCAACTAAAATGTTAGAAAAATTTTTGAAAACAATCAGATAAAATTCAATGAAATATCCAACACATACATCGCCAGATAATCGTTTAGTATCTCTGACATGTAATTCTTTGAATTGTTCGCTAGCTTGTTCCTCCGCCTGACAAGCTTTTTGGTGCTTGTGGATGTCGCTGGAGTGAATGTCGTCTGAACTGGTGGATTCATAAGCGCCGATTCTTGATCCCACTGCGTGTTGTCTTGTCTGTTGCAACATTTCTTCGAAATTAAATTGCTTTGCTTTTTTACTCGCATTTTTTTGATGCCGCTGCCAGTCCTCTTCATTTTCATCACCCGCGCCGTTACTGTCTTCTTTCGTTTGTTCATCTGAACTATCATTAACGTAACTGATTAAAGATCATAATTAATGACAGTTGCGTACAAAGGTTTTTTCGAGAAAATGGCATGAAAAAATTCTTGAAAATGGGCAATTCCAGTCACCTGGAAATACCAAAATAAATAAAAAACATTATCGAGGACATTTGCTAAGAGTATTTCCGATAATTACAGGTGTTTTTTAAAAGCTCATTCACTTCTATCCTCTCTCGTAAACGCTATCAAAACGCAACAATATAGTAACTTTTAAAATTTTGCGACGAAATAATTGGATTATTACAATATGTTATCGCGGCACCGCAATGACTTCAACTTTGATTCTTCATCACTTGTCAGAAAATGTTCTTTTTTCGTTTTTCAAGCGTTTTTACTCATTTCTCATATGAAAGGTATTTTTGGACCAGAAATTTCATGCGCAGATTCATCATGGGAACTAAAGGTAAATAATAAATAAGTGTAAAGCAATCACCTTTCTTTTCCGTCTGATTTTTTTCATCATCGATCATAATACGGCAAGCAGAGAGAACGAAACAATATGAAACAATTGGCTAACACTCGAGCGCAGCTGAATGATCTAGACTGCGAACCGAACGAAACGAGCGGGATCAGTTGCCCAAATTTGGTTCGCATTTAACTCTTTCAAAATTTTCGCCCAATTACTCCACTGATTTTTTTCATCTGTATTTTCCAATCTTCTCAATATTGTGATCAAAAAAGCAGTTGGTAATTACCAGTTCATGAAGAAGGGTACTGATCGGCAATCCTCATGAAAAAATCTCAAGCATGTAAATTTCGTCTTTGGCAAACGGCGAACGTATGATTTCGTTGGATGAATTATTTACGATAGCAAGTCAGCTGATGATGTCATCTTATTTACGAGAAATTGCATCACGCTCAAATAACAGGAATTTCCAGTGTAGAGCGTACGTTTCTGCACTATTCTCATGTGTGTTTTCTGTGAGTAGCAGAAGGAACTGTCATTAATTATGGTCGAAGACAGCAAGAATAAGGCGATACGGGGTAAAGGTAGGTGCTTTTTGCTTGATTTCATCACTTATTTTTCAAATTTTAGTTGTTTTTTTGCTTGATTCTACTGTTCATTCGTTTCATTTCTAATCAGAAATATTTTATGAAGTTATTTTCCATAACAGAAGCAGCTGTCCGTATTTCCTTGTGTTTTTGATATAGAAATGCACGATGAATGATTTATTGAATTGTTATATTGATGCGAAAAACTTTGAAGCTAAACAACAATTCAGCGGAAATGTTCTGTATTGTAACATCATCGCGTGTAAATTTTGAGTTCGGGAACGGAAAAATCAGTCGGTTAAGTGCGGCTTATAGTCATGAAATGCAGTTTTTAGAGTTTCTTTAAGATTTAAATTTTGAGGTAATGCCGTTAGCCATTGTAACGGTGCACAAGCATGGCAGAACTCTGCAGCGAAATTCATTGCCTTTCAAAAAAGTATCGCCACTAGTAGCGCACCTGAAGATGGCTTCGCGGAACGTCTGCGTGATGCAATGGCCGTCATTCACCAAGTTATCAAAGAATATCCGTCAGTTTTATCGTGAATCTCGTCGAAATTTTGGAAATCATAGTCAAAATACTTCTTTCATTAGGTATATCAAGCGATTTAGATATTGAAGAAAATAGATTCCAGTTTGTTTCAGTTTGGAAAGCATAGCGTTGTCTTTTAATGGTGGAAAAGACTGCACATTACTACTGCATTTGTTACGAGTCAAACTTGATGAGTGAGTTGACATTCTTTCAATATTATTTTTCCGTGACATCCTAACTTATCTATTGAAATCCCATTAATGTATTGGTCGCGGTTTGATATGGGGAAATTAGAAAGTGAATGCTCCTCTCCAATTATGAGTGATTGAATACGGGAATTTGGTGTTATCAGTAGAAGTCGCAAGGAGAGCGAGATTCTGTCAAATTATCGGAAATGCCACGGATCTTGAGCTCTGCTGATGCTCCCATATCATATATCTTCCAGGGTATATGGACCCGGCAAATCCATCCAAGCGTTTCACATTGTTGGCGGCGATTCTTTTCCAGATGCGACTGAATTCATCGAAGAGGCGTCTAAATGGTTCGTAATTTGTTTATGTTCCTGAAGTTTTTCTTGTATAGGAATCAACATATTCGTTTTAACGAACTGGTTGTGCGTAAAAGTGGCATTCCTCTTTTCACATAAATAAATCAACTGATTGATAGAACAAGTTTTATGGAATGAAAATGAGCCCACCAGGAATACGTTAGTTTGATGGAATGCTGAATTGTTGTTTGATATGAAGAAGGGCATTTTATCGAGTGAGTGCTGCCAGACTGAGTTGTTTATGCGATTTGCGTTTTTTTTGGTGAAAAAAACGTAAGCGATTGGGGAAAAGTCGTTGTTGTCGGCAGTTGGTATCATCGCTAAGATAACGCCGTTATTAGGGAATCGAAGGAGAAAGAGTCTCATGGAATTTGAAATTCAACATGAAATTTTGAAATTCAACATGAAATCGCTATTGTGCACAATACCGAGAAGAGCCAACTTTTCATTATTGCATCATATTAAGTTAAGAATTGGCAACAAGAGAACGGAATCTTGAATGATAAACGCTTTGCATATTGGGGGGGCCTGTCCATAAAGAGTGTAGGGTTTCTATCGTTTTATTTGTTTGCAGTTATAACGTCGAAGTTTTGGAATTGTGTGGTCCCATTAAAAGTGGGCTTGAGCAACTGAAGAAGCAGAGACCGGAAATTAAGGCGGTTTTGATGGGCAGTAGGTCGACCGATCCACGTGGTGCGTATATGCGCGCAAAATGCGAGATGACCGATCCTGGATGGCCCACATTTTTAAGGTTGGTTCTTTTTGGAAGCTAGTTTCTACTTTTTTTCAGTTTTCGATCCGATGATCGAAGGAGTGTTTGACAAAAAGAACAGTCTTAATATGGAAAATACAAAGTTGGTGAGAACCTGTAGGGAAATGTTGTTATTTTCGTGTTTTTGATCGATAGTTATAAATCGCTAGGCCATATGTTTCACTGATATCATCTTATACTTCTTTTGGCGGTAATATTCTTTTCTTGATTTCCATATTTATCATTTGTAGAAGCAGTATTGGATGTAGCTAGAAAAACCTTCGATCCGTTTTTGTATCTTAATACTATCTTTTCGTATCAATCAAAGAGCTAATGCCTAATGGGAAATTTGTAAAAGAGTTTCGGTGTAATCATAATATGATTGAAGGGTATGTCCAATTCTGGATTGGTCATATGCAGATGTGTGGCGTGTACTTCGCGGTCTTTACATACCATATTGCCGTTTATACGATCTTGGTTATACTTCGTTGGGAGAGAGGGGTACAACTCTACAGAATGAGGCATTGAAGGTGGTGGATAAAAGTGGTAAATTAGTGGGTTATCAGCCAGCGTATATGCTTGAACGTGACGAGTGGGAACGTCTCGGCAGAATCACTGGATAGATTGATCATTTGTGTCTTATGCATATTCATGGCCGAAGTGACTAGCTCTTAGCAATTTTTTATGGATCAAATCCACATTTTTTGTCATCAGTTAAAAAGCGCAGTCGTTTGTGCATGTTGCTTTATCAAAACTTCAGATTTGCAGTTATTGCCTCTATTAGATTCATTATTGTTATTGTCGTGTCTAGCATTTCTTTGTTATCGCGTTTCAGTTTTCATTTTTTTTCGGTGAATATGATATTTAGATGCTCACGGCCAGTAGCATCCTTAAATGCCTCTAGAGTCTAACTTCTTGCTCCGAACGAAAACATCTCATTGTCGGAATATAATTTGATCGAATTGTAAATAATATGCGATTAGAACTATGATAATTTAACTTATTAATGTTGATTTTTATGAGTGAACATGTGAAAGGGAACATACATCGACGATCTATTAATTGACGTTGAGAAATGCTATCATCGATTACAGTAGTTTGCTATCATCATAAGTTGAGAAACTCGCTTGCAATAGTTGATTCTTGCAATAACTTTATCAGTGTATATCTTTGACCAGTCATATACTTCATTCGTGCTCATTTCTACTTAAGATGATTTTATTCGGAATATTCTATGACAGCGGTCCCCACGTTAGGGTGCTCCATTACCTCCTCCGATAGTCTGGCAAGTCATTATTGCATCTGTTCCCTTTAATAATTTACTATTTCCACGCATAACGTCAGAACTAATTTCCCAGTCCCCTCCATTACCCTCTGACACAGCAAAATTACTTAAAGATGGGTGATTTACCTTCCAGAGGACACCTGTTCAATGGTATCTTTAGGGTATCGTTGATAAACTCTTTTCTGTGATCGATTCTTTGATTTCACTGCTGCCGAACTTGGTGATTGTTTTTGTCTCTTCCTGGTTTCTTAATTGTATTCAGTCATGCAGTTTCTTCGTTCTTTCATGTGAAAAACTATCTCTTCGTTAATTCAGCCACATTCCCTGAGTGATAAATGAATGATTGGTTGTTCATTATATACAAATATGGGACCAATTAAGGTTGAATAAAAAATTCGTGAGTTTTTCTTTTCGTTTATTTACGTAATCATCGAGATAACCTATGAGCTATAAGTTCTCAAAATGATTCATTATTTCCACATGAAGAAGGGAAAACACGGAGAGAATGATGCAGTTAATAAGAAAAAGGGAAAAGTCACATTGACTTGGAAAGTTCATATTGGGAAGATCGATAGTGAACTACTGCAATCCTGTGTTTCTTCATTAGGGTATTTTGCAGTGTTGGGCAATAGCGCGCTATTCCGCTAGTCCGCTAATAGCGAATAGCGGAATAGCGATATCGGAAGTTCGAGTGAATAGCGGAATAGCGATAGCGGGAACGGCGCTATCGTTGTTCGATAGCGAGCAACTTCCGCTATCTTCCGCTATCAGTTTATTTACAGTACAGAATCTGTTACAACAACAAGCAATCATGACTTCTTCGGCGTTATATCAACGCCTGTCGACAAATCGCACGAAAAGTCCTTGAAAAAGAGAGCAAAAAAGATCGTTGAAGAATGGTTAGATGGAGAACTCGAAAATAGTCTGGGGGATGCAACTTTTATGAATGACACGCGCTTCGTTAAACTGTTTATCAGGTCCACATATTGTTGGTCATACTTGTTTTAGCTACTTTATAATGTTTTCCATGCTTGTTTTAACAATACTTGTTCATCACCTATTGTTTCTACTTCAGATATTAATACCTCTAGCATGACTTCAAGTAAAAAATTTCAGATATAACACAGGCATGCCTTCTGGGGCACCAGTGGAGCGCATGTTTTCGCTAGGAAAGGATATCATGCGAGCGAAGCGGTCGAGAATTTCCGATGGATTATTCAATATGTTGATGTTTATCAAAGGAAACGAGAAATTATGAGCATTTTGGGCGCTGTTTTGATGATGTTTTCGCTGTTGAACTGTTGTGTTTCATGCTGTTGTGTTTCTGTTGTTGTTTTTTTATAACATGCTGTCGACCAAATTTAATGATATGA